ATTCGCTCCAGCGCCGTTATTTCAGTGACAAATGACATCTGGCCGTGACTCTCATCTGATACCGTGCTTGACCCCGTTTTTTCGACAGTCGCCCAATTTTTCTCGCCCACCGCTTTCATCTCTCGACAGAAGGTAATTGCGGCGGCACCGTGGCGTGCAGCGCCATAAATATAAGAGGAGCTGCTCAATAATTGGATGCTGACTTAAAGCGAGATGTGTACTGGCGTGGACGGTGATGGTGAATGTACTTTATCTTAATGCTCACCTTCCAAAAAAAAAAAAAAAGGAGGTTGATCCCAGGATATTTTCACAGCATCCATCCTGATCTGAGGATGGAGAGGTTCTTTTTTTCTCCAGAACCTCTCTTTCATGGTTATGGTGTTATCAGGGTTAAGATGCACACTTCCTGTGATCCCACAACACTTGCTATCGACTCTTGATGTGGTCGATGCTATAGTGGAGCAGATAAGCTGTGCTTTTTGCAACTCCAGGTCTCTGAGGAAGAGCACTGTGAGCCGCCAAGAGGGCTCACAGCGCTCTCCCTTCCCTCCTTCCCTTCCTTCCTTCCCTTCTTCCTTGTCCTTGTTTGCGCTTACTCTGCATGCCTCTGACTCTCTCCCCCTGATCCCTTAAGTCCCGAGTCTCTGGAGAATCCATCTGACCAGAGGTGAGTTCCTCAAAAGCTTTTGAACTTTGCCCCCATTTGTTGTTTCGCACTTTTGTTTCTGCCGCTCATACCTTTAACTTTCCTCCAGACAACCCCTCCTTGACCTCAAGCAGGCCTAAATCCTCCGCAGTGTAAAAGTAAATAAATACAAAGATCTATATGTTATAGATGTTATAGATCATTATATTAATGTACCGTTACAATGGGCATGGAAGCCAGATAAAGTTGGGCTTTAATCGATATTTTTGAAACAAAGCTGTTGTTATAGAGCATGAAACTAAATAAATATTTAAACATGGATACAAACAGGCTCAAATAAATACATATAGCGAGTGGATTAGCTCTGGTTTAGCGTTTGGCAAAGAAAGCAAACTTTTTTCTTGCGATTCCTGAAGCTTCTGCATCATATTTTAAATTAGGATTATGCTAAAAAAACCAAAAGAAAGACTAAAATGTTTTTCTTTTTTTTGCAGTAAAAACTTTAAAATATTGTGCAACACAAACCCTAATATGCTGCTTCATTTACTGCAGATACAGACTTCTTTATTTGCACAGCTTGTAAATGATGTGTATAAATCCTCCAAATAAATCTTGTATCGTGGATGTATAATGTTTAAAAACCCCACCTCTAGTTTCACTGCATTGATCGAAAACATAATTGATTCTAATAAAATCCCAGATTGCATCATTATAAAAACACATAATAATCTCTGAAGAATAAGATATGTTATTTTTGCTCCCATTTGTTGTGTCGCACTTTTTTTTCTGCTGCTCGTACCTTTAACTTTTCTCCAGACAACCGCTCCTTGACCTCAAGCAGGCCTAAATCCTCCTCAGTGTAAAAGTAATAAAATACAATATATTAATGTACCGTTACAATGGGCATGGAAGCCAGATAAAGTTGGTCTTTAATCAGTATTTCTGAAACAAAGCTGTTGCTATAGAGCATGCAACTAAATAAATATTAAACATGGATACATACAGGCTCAAATAAATACATCTAGCCAGTGGATTAGCTCTGGTTTGTTTAGCTTTTAGCAAAGAAACCAAAGTTTGTTAGCCAATCCTGAAGCTTCTGCATCATTTTTGCTCAATTTTTGTATTGAAATTCACCAACTACTGTACAATTAACTGCAAAACAGACCCTCAGCATGATGCTGCCACCACCACCAGTTCATAAAGTGTTTAAAGCCTCATTATAAATGTGTCATCTTCACGTTATATCTTCATCATAAACCTCGCCATGCTGCTGTTATCTGTTGACCTTGAGTAATCTTTAGTTTCCACACAGTGGAAAGCAAGTCTGTCCAATGCAACAATAAAAAAAAAATAAAAAAATTGAAATTAACTTTAACATTTATGGTAGAAAATAAGAGGGTTATATCTTATAAGGATTGCAACAGGTTGCTCTGAAACACCTATATTGAATTTGAACCTCAGGTCAAATTCAGCTTTTTTGTTTTTTGTTTTAGATAAATTGAATTTAGATTTTTTATAATCACTCCAGCCTGAAAAAAAAAGAAAAAAAAAAAGAGCAGCTTTAATTCTGCCTGATTTGACCAACATTAACGGGACATTCATGCCTGTTTTAAATGTATCTAAACTTCTAACCTGCACTGTGAAACAGAAATACACCCGCTCAGCTGCCCCGTCTCCAGCCATTCCTTTATTCTGAGCACCACTGCCACCTAGTGGGAGACAAACGGTCCGCAACCTGAAATGCCCTCTAAGGACCTGTAAGGAATAGATAATGCCCTTCCATTTCCAGAAAGTAACACCATCACTCCAGAAATCTATGAAGTGCGCAGTGGTTGTATATGAGATTCAGAGCGCCGTGTGCCAGCCTTGTTTTATTCATGATATGTTCTGCACTTTTAATAACCTTGACCTTATCACTGACAAGCTGCTTCGGCGAGATTTATTGGGCCTTGTAAACTCTTTGAGGGTTTGCCAGGAGTGGGGTTCACAGAGGCTTCATTTTTGTTTATTCACGTTTTTTTTTGTTTTGTTTTTTTTTTCTCTCCCCTTGAGAGAAAAAAAAACTGATGCCCTTAAATCACACTTTCTTGTTTACCTCAGCAGCTTTAGGTAAATATGTAGGGGGGGCGGTTTGAGTAAAGTGGGTTTTTGAAAAAGAAAAAAACTTAATTCTTGACTTTTCTATTGCATATATCTGCTGAGGTGGACTTGGCTGTGAAAGATGTTTTTTTTTTTATTTAATGGTAAAATATGTCCTGGTTTAGCAGAGGTGTGATGCTTCCCTCCCACCCTGTGTTGTGTGCCCCCCCCTGTATGCTTCCCTGTTCTCTGTGCTGATTACTTTGTCTTGTCATGTATCTTGTGCAATCTCTGTGCCATCTTTGGTTCCTTTTTGCCATATAAATGTCCTCACCCTCTCTTTGTCTTTCTGTCTATAAGCCCTTTGAAAATAGCAGACTCAGTTGCAGATGAGCAAACAGTTGCACAGAAACTGTCTGTTTACATTAGGACTGTGTGTATGTTGGCTGCGTTTCTCTCAGGGAACCTCAGTAAGTGTATCTGTATGCAGGGATGGCGTTGGAGTGCACATACTCATCCACAAAGTGCTTCGGTTTCCTCCCTTAAAGCTGTGACAGTGGCACACAAACCTCTTAAGGATAGATGGAAGCCTGCTTGTCTCTGCATCCAAATCACCGCTGATGCTGCAGCAGTGAAGAGGCGGGAGATCTAACAGCTGCCTAAACAACACCCAAGCAGTGGAGCTAGTTTAAGGCTCAGTAGTATGCTAAAGCTAACAGCAAAACAGCCCCCTGCTGCTTCAAAGCTCGGTCTGAATCCTGATATTCCCTTGAAACGACCAAGAAGCTCTTCAGCTTATGCTGAAAGACCAAACTTTTTTTCTTTTTTGCAGTAAAAACTTTAAAATATTGTGCAACACAAACCCTGCTGCTTCATTTACTGCAGATACTGACTTATTTATTTGCACAGCTTTTAAATGATGTGTATAAATCCTCCAAATAAATCTTTTATCATGGATGTATAATTTTTTTAAATCCCACCTCTAGTTTCACTGCATTGATTCTGTTTGAAGGCATAATTGATTTTAACAAAATCCCAGATTGCATGATTATAAGAACACATAATAATCAATTTTTTTTGGCAATGTGGCAATAACAATAATTGTCTTTATACCAAAAAAAGAGCCCAACAGATTTTGCTTTCACAGGTGGAGCAGTACGGCTATCGCCATAGTGCTCCACTTGATTTATGCATATAAATGCCTTTATTATAATTATACAGGGAGTTTTATAGATTATATGGACACTGCAATGCAAGTAGAACAGGAAAGGAAAAACAGAAAAAAAGGAGAAAAGATGAAAGAAAGAGGAGATAAAAGAGAGACAATGATAAAACGTCTTCAATCTGCTTCATCACCTGCAAAGAGATGTAAAAAGAAAAGCACAAGCAACGGATAAAGAATAAGAGATACAATAAAGTGGCACCTAGATACTATCGCTGAAGTATAAGTAGTATTATTTAATCTGAAATGTACACTGTGGTAGCTGAAGATAAGAATATGGGCTTTCTGTATGGAAGTGAACCTCTAAGTATCTGGAGCCAAGCACCTGTAGATGTTTGTGAAAGTGCACTTGTGCATGTAAAGTTTATCCAAAGGGAAAATGCTCCAAATACATCTATAATAATCTCTTTTTTTTGTTTTATTTGTTAAATTTGATCCGACTTTCTAGGAACTCCAGATTAGTGACCCATCATTTTCTGTTTTGATTTTATTTTTCCTAGAACCAGACAGGAATAGGAAAAAAATCCTCCAAAGCTCACTATTAAAGAACTTATTTCTACTGTTCCTTTAACTTGGGTCAACACTCAGAGGAAATCTGTATATCAAACATGAACAAGTTAAATACTAAGTTAATTAAGTATATTAAGCTCATCGGGGATTGACTAAAGCAGGTTGTGGCTCTGAATGGGAGAAATGCATAGGAACACATCAGTGTGATGGTGCAGCAAGCAGCACGGCTGATGTTTGAATCAGATAAGCTAGTTTAAAAAAATGGCGTGGAGTCGTACTTTTTAAAAATTTGCATCCATGTGGGACAAAAGAAGTTCTCTTGTAGCTTTTTGTGATTTCTTTGTTGTATCTATGGATACATTTTCTCCTAGTTATTAATTGCACTAATGTTAAAGGTAGGTTTGTCTTGTTGGATCATGCTACTACAATAAAAGATGAATTTATTTGTAGACATTTTTTGCCTTGTTTATCGTGTAGGACTCTGAAATATGCCAGAGATTATGGAGACTAAAACTAACAGCTGCTGTATTTATGTTCTCCTAGTGAAAAGGCTCTGCTGGTGAACAAATTCGAGCTGAGCATCCGCACAGAGGCCACTCAGGGCTTACTGCTCTGGAGCGGGAAGGGTGTGGAGCGTTCCGACTACATCGCGCTGGCCATCGTGGATGGGCACGTCCAGATGACGTACGACCTGGGCTCTAAGCCCGTGGTGCTGCGCTCTTCTGTGCGTGTCGACACCAACCGCTGGATACGCATCAAAGCCAGCAGGTAAGAAGAAAGGAGATGATGAGGATCAGCAGCAAAAGCTTTATTTTTTATTTTTTTTCCAGTTAAAGAAGGATTAGACATAATCCATATTGTCTTTGCGTTGCTGCACACCAGGTGATATCTCCCATGAATCCTCGGCTTAGCTCTGGTTTGATGGTTGTGATTAGTTTCAGATTAAGGTTATTTTCATGGCCGGTCCACATAGTTCGGAGCATTATGCAACAAATAGCGCTGGTAGGGATGATGCAGCTTAGACACGGTAATAACGAATAAAATAGAGGAACATGATGTTACAGCCCAACATAGTGGTGCATTCTGAAAACTGTAGACAGGAAATTATTATGAAAATATAATCTACACATAGCCACTTATTTACTTCCTTTACCTCATTGCAGCTGCAAACTTTAATGTGTTTTTTTCAGATTTTATGTGATTGACCAAGTAGTTCATGTAAATACACTTTAAATGATATAGTATATAGTTTTCAGAACCTTAAATTAACATTTAAATCAGTTTATTTTTATGGTGACAATTCACATCATGTCATGTGAAGGCACTTTAAAGAGACAGTCAATCAGATAATCCAGTCAGATTAGTTAAACGTTTTCTATCTATGGAAACCTAGCTGAAGACATATTCGCTTGCAGTTTGCCGTTTATTCTACAGCAATCCCTCACACCGCACATGCATGCAGTGACAGTGGAGAGGAAAACTCCCTTTAAGGAAGAACCCGATAGCAGAACCAGAATCAGTGTGAGTGGCCCTCTGCTGAGGCCGACTGGAGTTCAAGGAGAAAGAAGCAGACATACACGCAGGACATACATGCACTGATCTATAAATAATTTCTATGCTAGAAAAGGTGAGAGTAAACTTGCTCCACAAGGGGCACTATCAGAGAAAGAAACAGCTGATTAACTATGACTCAGTTTTCATGTCAAAGTTATGAAGGAGGGAATATATATATTTAGAGTAAAAACTGAGCCCATAGCTATGTTTAGGAGAGAAACAGGACTAAGCCCTGAGAAACAGGCCCAACTCTACACCTATAATCTAAGTTGTTGACGGTGACAGCCCGGCTGAGATTGCTCTCTAGGATCGAATCACAGCTAAACAGAACCAGGCCAAATGAAGCCACTATTACGAGACAAAGCAGAGAGAACATAAAGTTAGGGCTTAGAGGTTGAACTGATATTGCAGAGTGGGAAAACAGTGATGGAATGAAGCTGAATGATAAAAAGTTGTCCCTATGTCCTCCAGCAGTCTAAGCCTATAGCAGCATAACTATAAAAATGTCTCAGGATAAAGTTAGCCACTCTAACTATAAACTTGATTAAAAAATAATCAAGTTTATTGTTAGAGGGGCTTTTCTCTTTCCATTTTTGGCATGTCTGGATTAAATCACACCAAAAAAGAAACAAAAAAGAAATAGAAAAGGGTTCCCCCCCTCCCTAGACTTGCTTGGGGGAACACTATAAGGTTATTCCTATAGGTATGGATAATGAAAATAACACCACTTTCCATATTGGATGAAACTGTCTTCTAGATTTTGTTGCTTTAGGGCCAATAATAAAGTGTTTTTTTTTATCTTCCTATATAAACATGCATAATCCATAAAGTGAATACTTATTACGAGACCCATACAGACGAGTAGAAAAGATGGATAATCTTCCTTGAAGTGAAAAAACGGAAAGCATGCAATACTTTTGTGTCACACTCTGATGTCACGTTAATTGATTTGTTCATTAGGAACAAATTAACAGCCTGAGCATTGAAAAAGACCCATTTAACATCTTCTGCATGTTCTCCACTTTATCGCCAGCGAACATTTGTTTTCACCATCGCCGCAAACAGACCCCTTCTGTGGATAATTAGATGGGTTTTTGTCATTTAAGGCGAGAACAATAAATCCTCAAAAGGCCGCTTGCATCCATTTTAAAAAGGGGATTTTGCCAGATTTCATCCCAGGCTTTTCTTTTCTTTTACATGGAGGATGCTGAAAGATGGCGTAATGTTGGGAGGCAAAATGATGCAGCTAACATGGTTCCACTGTGTTCTGTGTTTGTGCCTCACTTTTAATGACTCTCTCTCAGCTGGAGACGTTCCTCTAGTGAATTTTAATTTGCATAGACTTTAGATTTGTTAAGTGTGTGCAGCAAGGAGGCCGCGAAATGAGCGAAGCTCTTCCAGCATCTGTTAGCTGCTAGGCTCATTTAGAACGCCGCTTGGCAAATGCACTTATGTGAGTGTTCAGTTTACTGGAAGCAAAGTAATTTGATGGAGATAGATTTGGTGTTTCACATTAAAGGAAATGCTACGTTCCTACAGACAGACTGGAAAAGCCTGGGATTGGATTCCAGGATGATTGAAATGCAAAATAATTAATTGAAAGTTAAAAACCTTTTTATTTCCACACTTTATTTACTGTCCAGATGTTTAAAGGCTATTTCCTTCCTTCCTTCCTTCCTTCCTTCCTTCCTTCCTTCCTTCCTTCCTTCCTTCCTTCCTTTTTCTGATTCCTTACTTCCTCCTTCCTTCATGTCCCACCTTCCTCCATTTCCTTTATTCCATCATACCTCCTTTCTTTCATCTTTCTCTTCTTCTGTCCTTGGTCATTTCCTTCCTTTCTTCCTTCCTTCCTTCCTTCCTTCCTTCCTTCCTTCCTTCCTTCCTTCCTTCCTTCCTTCCTTCATTTCTTTTTTCTGACTGACCTCATTTCTTTCATCATTCCCTTCTTCAGTCCTTGGTCATTTCCTTCCTTCCTTCCTTCCTTCCTTCCTTCCTTCCTTCCTTCCTTCCTTCCTTCCTTCCTTCTAATTTCTAAATGCTTCCTCCCTCTTTCCTTGATTTCCTTTCTTCCATCATACTTCCTTTCTTTTATCTTTCTCTTCTTCAGTCCTTGGTCATTTCCTTCCTTCCTTCCTTCCTTCCTTCCTTCCTTCCTTCCTTTCTTCTAATTCCTGACTGCTTCCTCCCTATTTCCTCGATTTCCTTTCTCTCATCATTCCCTTCTTCAGTCCTTTGTCATTTCTTTCCTTTCTTCATTCCTTGTCTCCTTCCTCTCTTGGGGTTTGTGTTTCTCCCCTCACCTCCTTCCTTTAATTTGTTTCAATGTTTTTGCCATTTGCTAATATTTACATCCTGGAAAAATAAGATTGAATCTTCTAAACTACTGCTTAGGTTTATTTAATAGGTGATGTTTTGGTCAGACTAACTCTGCATCTTTTTCCTGCTCCTCAGGGCGCTTCGGGACGGCTCTCTGCAGGTTGGAAACGAGGCGGCGGTAACAGGGTCATCTCCCTTACGAGCAACGCAGCTGGACACAGATGGAGCCTTATGGTTAGGTAGGTTTACACGAGCGCATTTCAACATCCAACTAGAAAATCCCTGACTGTGTTAACCCTGCTTAATAAATAACAGTAATTAAGTCATTGGGGGGAAAAAAGAGAAAAAGTTGTTTGTAAAAAAAGACCCGTCTGGTTCTAAAGTGAGAAATGAGACGTTTTCTAAATAATTCCAACTTCTCTGCTGTTCAGAATTTAAAAATACCAAACCCAGCTTATCTATGAAAGGTTATAGAGGAAAAAATAAAATAAATAATGTAGCATAAATGGGTTTATATATAATAAAATAAACAAATGTATTGCCAAATAATGAAATGTAAACTGAAATAGATAAAGGTAACACTAAAGGTGCCATTAAATAATCATATATACCATTTATTTAATAAATGATTTTTAAACAATGTAGCATGAAATAATAAAATATAAATAAGTAAATGTGGCATTAAATTATTTAAATCTTTTTTTTAAGGTATGACTTTAAATTACTAAATATCAGCCAATCGGATGTCAGGATTCATATGGAGGCGGAACTACTCCTGCTCACCAAGTTTAATAGTCGCCATTAACAAATACATTTTTGTGAGTAATACATAATAATGCATTAGTAAATTCATTTAATTTAACAAAAATTACATTTGATTTCTTCAAGTTACAATTTTAAAGGTATATTTGATTTTATTTTTTAATCACAAATTCTGTTTATTCATTTTAAAATTCACAATTTCATGTTATATTTAATTGTTCAATGATATATAATTAGATGATACATTTAATCACTCAATTGTACATTTATTTCTTTATTTTTTGTTCTATTTAATTTATTTTATATCATGACACATTTATTTATTTCATTTTGTCCCTTTTAATCCTCCATAATGATCCGCATTGGAGTCAAGTTTGGTCTGAACTTGGATCTGCTTGCAGCGTGGCTGGATGGTTGGCTAAATAAAGCCGAACTTTAACTAGAATGCAAATTGGGCATCATAAAAAGGGAGGCATCTTTGAGTGGAGACGTGTCGGAGCAACATTTTAAGTGACTTTCCTCATGCTGAGGTGCACTCAGGTAGAGGCCTGCATCCAGGCACAGGAGGCAACACAGTGGAACAGGTGCTGATTGAGTCCTGCAGCACGAATATATAATCCGCACACAGCTCTTATATTTCCAGTCCTTCTTCGTTTTAAATCCCCTTTTCACTGTTCATCATTAATTCATCTATAACTTGCATGAAATTAGCCCTGTCGACTTCTGATTCGGGGGCTCCCAATCCGATTAATGGGGGCAGGGACAGGGGATGTAAAGAGCTTGAAAGGGATATGAACTCACAATCGAACAAAACAAGAAAGGAAAAGGATAGACTGTAAGAAGGTGAGATTAGAAAAAGAAAAGCGAGGTGCAATGGCAGCCAGGTACAACTTAAAAAGCCAGGCTTAGCCTCTGAAGTCATGCTGAATATAGATGTTTCATGCTGATTTAGCCGCAAAGGCACTAATGACAACTTTGAATTTGCTGGCTTAGAAAAGTAGCTCACGCAGCAATTAGAAAATGAAGTCTCCAAACTCTGTAGGGCTTGGTTTTTCTTTCTTTTTGTTTAAAGATTCAAATTGCATAGAATAAAAAAAGGATTATAGGGGGAAGATACTTTAAAGAGTTATTTTTTTTTTCATAGAAAGTCCTGAAGAGGATGTGAAGCCATAGACATAGATAGACCCTGCATCATCGAGTGATAGAGGTGCCGACAGTGCGGCCATCTTAGGTCAGACCAAGCTGCAGTCAGAGACAATTCATGTCAATTGAGGCTAACCCTATCTTATGACTTTAGACGCTCCGAATCCGGTGAACTCTCGACCGATTTCCCAATAAATTGGATAACTGAAAAAGAGAATGTTTCACGGGTTACACGGGGCCAACTGATTTATCTGATTTTCTGTTTTCCTACATAATATTGATTTTGTATTGACAGTTAGCCAACATCCAGAGCTTCATCTCAGAATGCCCGACTTTTATTCCGCCTATGGATTAACAAATAAAATGAGACACACATTAACTGATTAAAGAATAAATGTTCATATTTGCATAAATAATAAAGAAATATAGTTTGAAAAAGAGTTTTGAAGAGATTTAGTGAAACTTATAAAGACAATAGCTCTTTAGTTAGACAAAACATAAATTTACGATTTACTACGATTTGACAAAAAAGTCTTGATAATGATAAGAAATAAATGAAAATTAACATAAAAAAAACAAAATAATTACTTTACTCTCTTTTGTAAATCACATTACAGCTAAGTTTCTTTTATAGATCATAATACTCATTATCAAGGAGCAATCCTTAATACTGAATAATAATAATATACTATATAAATATATAATATTTATATAATGTAAGAATATATTAATATAAAATGTTATGTTCATAATATTGATATTTAATTGCAAAATATGTTTCTGCAAGTTTATATTTCATGCAGTTTGGTTTAAATCATCTTTATTCTGAATAAATATATGTAATCTAACTGAAAGGTCATTTTAAAAGGTGTTTTGTTGTTTTAAGGATGTAAGAGATCATTGTAATATTATCTTTGACTCATCTTTATAATGCGATTAAAATGAGGCACCTTCTATTCTGTCTGACAGCAGCGGTCTGAACTATGGTCTGACCCAAGATGGCCGCCCTCTAGGCAGCTCGGCTTTGCTGCCTAGACTTAGAGTTTTTTAGCATTGTTATTAAGAGAACAAGCAAGTTTCTAGCATCAACAACACGCACCAAAACAGCATCTAAAGGCTATCAAGAGAATATCTGGGAATCCACTAAATTATTTGGAATACATCTAGCTTATTTCATAATCTCTGCTCCAAGCAGCAAACTGGGGATTAAGAGAATTTTGTTTCTTATCGATTCACACTCATGAGAAAGCAAAAATAAAGCATAAAACTGTATTTTGCATGCAGATTTACTTTAGGGTTGCATAATTTGTTCCTTTTCAATTGGCTGTCAGCAGTTTAAAAGTAATGAGCAGGTTAGTTGCAGTCATTATCTTCATGTGCTGTCAACACCCTTCATTTTTCTGAGCCAGACTTAAAAATGTTTCTCCTTTGTTGCAGCTTAGTTTCTTTCGCCAGTGTTCAGACCCTCTTTTTTTCAGAGATTTGAAAAATAAGCTGTCAACCTGTCATGTCCATCAGCCGGCGTCTTCGTGTGAAACATCAAAGGCTGACTAAAAAAAACAGGCGGTTGCTCCGGCTGTTATGTAGCGAAACATTTCAGGGGATTTTCAGGTTTAATTTGTTCACAAATGCGATCCCCCGTCCCGCTGCCTGATGTTGAAAGGAAAGCTGCGTCGGTTTTACACCAGATCAGTTTACTAATGATTCAGTGATGAAATGGGGATGAAGCTCTGAAAGAGGGAAGAAATAACCTCTGGGCTTAGATTTTATTTTATATTCAATCTTTTTGTTAAATTAACCAGTGACTGTGAAATTAGTCTATACAGTGGGGGAAATAAGTATTTGACCCCTTGCTGATTTTGCAGGTTTGCACACTTACAAAGAATGCAACAATCTACAATTTTAATCATATGTACATTCTAACAGTGATAGACAATCCCAAAGTAAATTCTAGAAATTCACATCATATGAATTTATTAAAATTGATAACCATCTGATGAGGAAAAACAAATATTTGACCCCCTCGACAAACAGCATGTTATTATTTTGTAGAAAAGCCATTATTGGCCAGCGCATGTCAAACGGTTTTATAGTTGGTGACAAGGTTTGTGCACATTCCGGCAGGGATGTTGGCCCACTCCTCCCTGCAGACAGCCTCCAAATTATTCAGGTTCCGAGGTTGTCACCTGGCAACTCGAATTTTAAGCTCCCTCCAAAGATTTTCAATTGGATTCAGGTCTGGAGACTGGCTAGGCCACTCCAGAACCTTGATGTGCTTCTTCTTCAGCCACTCTTTTGTTGCATTGGCGGTGTGCTTAGGGTTTTTGTCGTGCTGAAACACCCATCCTCGACCNGTGTGGTGCTTCTTCCATTTCCTGATAACTGCACCGACAGTTGATCTTTTCTCTCCTAGTTGCTTTCCGATTCTCTTAGCCCATCCCAGCCTTGTGCAGATCAACAATCTTGTCCCCGATGTCCTTAGAAAGCTCTTTGGTCTGGCCTATGGTGTTGATGTTGGATGCTGGTTGTTTGGGTGTTGACAGGTGTCTTTTATACAGGTAACGAGGTGAGGCAGGTGTATTTGATGTAGATAATATGTTGGCATTGGGGCTGTGTCTTAAATAAAGACTAACTGGCTTATAGGAGCCAGAATACTTGCTGTTTGGTTGGGGGTCAAATACTTGATTTTCCTCATCAGATGGTTAGCAATTTTTATAAATTCATATGATGTGAATTTCTGGAATTTTCTTTGGGATTCTGTCTATCACTGTTAGAATGTACATATGATTAATGTTGTAGATTGTTGCATTCTTTGTAAGTGGGCAAACCTGCAACATCAGCAAGGGGTCAAATACTTATTTCCCCCACTGTATATTGCCATGTGAATTTTCTCCAGTATAAAATTTTACATATAGGTCTTAAGGGATGCTGTATAATATTTAACCACTAGGGGAGCTAGATCTGTATACAGAAAGCAGATTTCTAATTGGATTAATGACTTAGCAACAGAAAGCACAGATATTTTAGGAACATTGTTAAACTTCTGCAAATCCAAGTTGATTTGTGGAAGAAAATTCTTATCAGAAATGATTTAGCTCATTATAGTTATCCCTGCTTTCAGCATAGTTGCCACATTTTTAAATGGAGCAATTGGGGCCATAAAGTAAAAAAACTTTTACTGAAAAAAAAAACAACTTTGTTCAAAGGAAAACATTTTACCGTGATGGTTTGGTTTTTATTTTCAGGATTACTTTTTTTTTTTTTTTAAACAGAAAATTTTTTTAACCAATTTTTTGGCCGCAATTAAACTCCATAGTCAGTCCAGAAGGTTGATGTGTTCCTGTACAAGCGTCATTCGTGTGACGTTAGCTCTAACGAAGACAACAGAGAAGCTTTTGGTCTAGAATCTGTGATTTTAACGTATTCCAACCTCAACCCCATCCGAAAATGTTTTTATTCCAAAGGGGACAAAGTTATCAAGCCTTAATTAACTTAGAAGCTTCCCGATGTCTACAAGGGAATCTACAATTTTTCTCTGATAATATAGGTAAAAGTTTATTTTAAAAAGTGCATACAAGTAAACAATTATTATTAGTAAAAAAAAATGTTTTTCAATTTGAAAGCCAGTTAATTTCCACTTAAATGGGGGAACTCATGTTGTTATTTTAAGCATTAGTCTTGGTTGGAACCATGAGAAGCATATATTTGTTTTCAGCAAACCTACATGAAGGGTTTATGTATTGTGTTATTAAAGGGAAGTAGGTTTGGGTTAACCTCCGTCTGTCTCTCCTAAGGTGGTCTGGAGGAGCTGGCCGTGGCCCGCCGCCTGCCCAAGGCCTACAGCACCGGCTTCGTCGGCTGCATCAAGGACGTGGTGGTGGACGGCGTGGAGGTCCACCTGGTGGAGGACGCCTTAAACAGCCCGAAAATATTACACTGTTCCGCTGCCAAATAACCAGCAAGACAGAAAGCACTGCGAGACCGGAGAATAAAAACATAAAACAAAACAAGAAACCCTCCCACCCGCTCCCCCCCCGTAACGCCCATGTCTCCTGCTGTAATTATTTTCTATTTTTGTATACTTTTCATCGCTTTTTATATGGGGAAATAATGAATACGTTGTTTTTAATTTTTGTTTGAATCATTTTTTTTTTGCCATTTTCTTCTGCTCCACTCCTCCATCACACTTTGTATTGTCCTTTTTTTTTGTTCTTCTTAAAAAAAAGCTATTTACTTTGTATTGATTTTGTTGTTACCTTAAGAAAAACATCACCTTTTTTTTTTATCACTCATTACTTGAACGCCGTGGACCTTGCTTCTAATCTCTGATTGTTGCCTCGTCTTGGTGCCATATCAACCAACCACATTCCCCCCAGACATGGCCCATACATCCTGATCATACAGACATACATTCCCGTTTCTCAGCCGGAGCGCCATACTGGCGTCCAGCTGGCATAGAGTCTATCCGGATCCCTCTGTATTATTCAATCCACTCTATTTTCCTAATGAAATATCAGCCAAGCTGCTACAGTGACTAAGTGCACCGTCAAGCCACTCGATCAACTCCCATGTAACAGCTTCAAGAAAAGAAAGGAAAAAAAATAGACGCTTTCCAGTCGACCCATCAGAGCCTTTAGTTTTGAAATATGACTAACACCGCAGCCCCGACGTGATGGAGAGAGCTCTGCGCCACACAATGACTCTCACATTATTAATCATGAATCATAGATACTCATAAATGTTATAAAAATAGACTATATATAAATAATACCTAAGACTGTGAATATGTAAGATGGGTTCTCTTCCGAGACTTGTGCTTTTCATGTACTGTTGTGCGTTCCGTTCTACAATCAGCAGATGAACTAATGCTCACCACTATAAATGCATGCACTTCTGCAGTGTTGGTTAGAATCTGGGTTTTTCCCTTTTTTTTTTTTGGTTTGTTTATTTACATTCTGTTTAAAAAGAAAGGAAAATAATCTAATTTGAGAAATGAGTCTTGTTTTTTGTTTTTGTTTCTCTTATTATTTGCTGATGAGTTTAGCAGAACGTAAAGGAATGGGAATTATGCTTTAAGGAGGCGTTTTTGCCATTTTGATCTTTGGTGTTCTGGGGTTTTTTTTTTTTTTTTTGGGTGTTCTGGAAGTTAGTTTTGCAGGAACTCGATGAGGTTGTTACCGCGTCCGACCTAAAGGAGGCGTTGAAAGCAAAGGCTGAAGAAAAGAGGACAGACAGACAGAGAGAGAAAGGAGGGAAGCAAGAGGAGATCTCCTGGGAATGTCCTGTATATCCTGAAAACTATAATCAGCTCTCATGACTAAAGACACAAAATAAACCCTTCCCCTAACTCTGCTTGGGATTTAATTCCTTTCTTTTTTTTTTTTCTTTTTTTTTTTTAATCCAAGAACATTCCTGGAGGCAGACATTAAGCTTCGTCTGTTCAATGAGAATAAGATGGATGATGGTGAAGGAGATGCTGGTACGTTCTGAAGCCATAACAGCCGCTAAAACTGAGGGGGAAAAAAAAATCCTCAGTCCTGCAGTAATTTTCAAGTTAACAGCAAAGCATGGAGCGTTGCAACGTGGAGCCGGACGCAATAAACTGAGCTGACTGACTTAAAGACACTTGTTTTGATATGAGAACCTTGGCAATATCCTACTAAAAAAACCATGCCTGTTTGTGACTATCACATGGTCTTGTACCTCTTTTCTTCCCCCCTTCCTGCTTATGTTCTCCTTTTAATCTTAAGGCGACCTGTTTTTGTACAGCCCTGCAGTTTTAAAGTGTAAATTTAGCTAAAGTGTGATCTGTGCAGGTTTCTGTTTTTAGTAATATACACTGGAGCCATGTCTGACTCGTCTTTTCACCCATAAAAAGATATACTTCTGTGTGTGGGAGACGTATCGCCCTAAAGCTATTACTGTGTTCTACATATCCCAGTTCTGGGAATCCCTTCCCTGGTGTCCCAAGTTTCAGTTTTATTTCAGCAATCTGCTCTTTGAATTTAACCCAAATTGGCTGGAATTGGAAAACAAAAACAAACCAAAAATCAGTAAGAGACCCCTGCAGCAGGAGTCTCCCTATATGGCTCTGGTGGAAACTGAATTGCCTTAAAAACCTGCCACCTCGGTTGTGAGCAGGTCATAAAGACATCACCCATCTTCCTTTTTTTCCTTATTATAGCCGGTGTATTAGCCTCGTCCCCATAACGTAAATGAGTACTACAGAATGATAACAATATTAGTAATAATCCCCAAACAAAGAAAAAAAAAAACAATAAAAATTTCCCAGAGGGTTTCTGCAATGGTTTTCTTAATCCCTGTACCGTTTTCTGTTCCTTATTTATGTCTCCATGTTGATTATCCTCCATGTCTGACCTCTGTAAACTGCTGTCTGACTGTGCAGACCTCGTCAACGGGCAGCGCACCAAGTAAGAGTGGCATGACCTGAACATTACTAACTTTATGACCTTTGTCTTGTGTTCCTACCACCATGAAATAAAAACGTCAACCAGATCCAAATCTTTCCTTCTGGTGGCTTTTATTTTATATTTTTGATGCATGTTTTACAAAAAAAGTATGTAGAAGTAATTAGTGAATAAAAAAGAGCCATAAAGAAGCAGCTGAGAGACCCATGGCGGCTCTGGAGGTGTTTTAGAAATCCTTAGGTCTCTATCCTTAGGCTAGGAGTATCCTTTAACACAAATCAGGCCTCTGTAGAATATAGAAAGGAAATGTGTGAAATAAATTATGTAAATCAGCTTTGTCAGACGCATACATGTATAGTTGATAAAGAAGGAGCCCTGGTCTGATTGAACACAACGTTTTAATTTATGTGCAGAAAGCCTAATGTTAGAAAGGTGAGGCTACTGTACACTCCACCATGAACTCTCTGCAGGATCAGATCTTCAACCCACTGGGCTGCAGGTTATGGTTCCTTTCTGCAGCAGGATCAGAGAAAAACATATTTTACCATATTTAAAGTTTCAAGACTACAAAGCACCTGCCTGGAGCTGTTAAGCAATTGCTATTCATATATTAAACTTATTTTATTAATGTCTTTAAAGTTTATGTTCACTTAAATCTCAGAGCCAGTTAAAAAAAAGCTTCTATTGTTATAGCTTAACATTAAAAAGGTCATAAATGTAATTTTATTTGAATAAAACTTCTCTTAAAAATACAAATCATGCTCTTAGAGAATTTAAACCTATCTTCTAGCCTAATAAAAATTGATTGAACCAAAAAAATGTGTTTCAATTTCCAAACCACAAAGAGAACCTGTTACAGGTGTGTTTATTGAAATATTTGTAAAAAGAAAAGAAAAAAAAACAGCAACAAGAACATAAACAATAACCCTGCTAAGTTGTACATGAATTATAATTAGAATAGAATAGAATGCAAAATCCTTTTAGAAAGTGTATAAAAATAACAGAATAAGTAACAGAAAATAAACATATAAGACACTATACTCTACAGTGTTTTTACAATATAAATACTCTGTATTTCATAATCAGTAAACAGCTGTGGACTTTTCTACAGAGGTGGATATGTGATGAATAGCAGCAACATCAGAGATGTGCAAAATGACAGCAGCATGTTATTTAACTGACTAAGACAGAAACGGCAAAAATCAGCATGAAAGTAACAACTTATTGAGGTTGAAAGCAGTGGTGGTTATAAAGTCTTAGAGCTGCTGGAAGGAAGGATCTGTGATACGCTCCCTGGTGCATTTAGGGTGCAGCAGTCTGTTAATAGTTATTAGCCCTCTATTGCATTAAATGTTACTTAGACAAATTAAAACAAGCTTTTCATGATGTATTACTTAAAATTAGTTAAATAACAGAAACATTAAAAAAAAGAATCTTTCAAAATAGTTAATAGGGGTTGTTGGGAAATTGTTGCCATATGGCAACAATATGTAGTACCATAAATTTCTCTCTTTTTTTCTTTTTTTTTTTTTTTTTCCGAAAATTCATTTTATTTTAAACAAGATTTAAATGATCCAGTTTATGCTTATTGAAATGTAATGTAAAGTGCTTTGGTCAAGTCCCCTGCATTTGAAGGAGTGCTATATAAATACAGGCCATTTACTGAAATGGAAAGCTTTATAAAACATTTAGTTGTTTTTGTGTTTGTGTTACTCAGGCAGTGAAACTAACTTAGTCTCACATGCACACATTCACACAGCCATGCACACAATCCTGAGGATGAACTCTGTAGTATTTTCTACTGGTTCTCTGTCTGACTGATTCTGAGCAGCTTCTACTCTCATCCAGGTTTACATCAACCTTGTTTCTTTCTTCACTGTCTACCACCTCATCCTCACTCTCCTGTAGCGGAGCAGATATTTCAGCCCCGTTCTCTTTCCCTCCCCATAGAAGTAGATGAGATGCATCTTTTATGGGAAGGAAATGGGACAATATTTCACAGATGTCCTACTGTACAAAACACCTTAAACAACATTTTAGAAATATAAAATCTTTTTTATCTTGGAGTCTAGTCTCTCTGTGTCTTTCATGGTTAGCATTCAATGGGTCTACATTGGTTTGAACGAACCAGGATCTTACCATATTTGTATGCGTTTGCCAGCAAATGTATTTTAGCAGATGCTGGTGAAGATTATCAGTCATCCAGGTCAGAGACATTGCAAAAAAGTTAAAAAAACAACCTACTGGACTTGGTTCCATGACTGAAGACTTTTCCCTTCCCATCCAGGAAGCTTTTTCAATTCAACATTAACGTTGAGTTTGAAGCTTTACATAGCAGCCCAAAAACTTGTTTTGGCTTAGAAAGCATGCAAATTGAACCAGAAGAACGGGTCCATCCCTTAGGAATGGGGAGTGCTTTGGGTTCTTTGTTAGCCTGCAATACCCGATACCTGTCTATGTCGTTAGATGCATTGTTGGTGGTTGCATGGGTACTGTAGCACATTGCAAAACCTGTCATTTAAAACTTATTTAAATGATTTTTAAAAAATCTAGTTTAGTAACCTAAGGTAGGAATTATTTTTTTTTTTAATTTAAATTATCCAAATTTCTAAATAAATCCAATCTTCTGGGTCTCAGACTGATGATTTTCACATGTCAATCTCCATAAGAAAAATGGACTGACAAACAGGATTTGATGGTCGTTTGAACCCATATTCAATTTACATCAACGTAAAAAACATATTTTTTCAATAAACTGTGAATAAATAGGTTTTATATTACAGCTTTTTATTTATTTATTTATTTTTAGAAAGTTTGGATAAAATAATTATTGCCTTATGGCAACACTGTTAAATAAGACCCACTGCGGAGGTCCCAGAGAGCCACATGTGGCCCCAGAGCTGCAGGTGGCAGATCTCTGGCCAAGTCAAAGTCCAATTGAATGTATTTACAGATACTCTCCATCCAGTTTAAATGAAGCATAAAATGCAAAGAACAGACAAACAATTTAACCACTGGATATGCAAAGATGGAAAAAAACATACATTAGAAGAGCTTTAAGATCAAATTGTTGCAAAACTTTCATTCAGAACTGTTATGACCACAGTTTGCATTTATATTTCTATAGATATATCTATCGTACCGATTTGTGTCTCAGGTTATTGATACTAAAACAGTATTTAGGCGTATGAATACTTGTGCAAACGTATCAAGCCTAAACAGTGTTTTTATTTATTTATTTATTTTTTTAATTAATTTTTTTATTAATTTTTTTTTTTATTATTTTTATTTTTTTATTTATTTATTTATTTATTTTTATTATTTTTTAATTTTTTTAATATTTTTTTTATAAAAAAATAAATAAATAAATAAATAATAAAAAAAAAATTATAATAAAAAAAAGAAGCTCCAGTTCAGTATATTCTAGGAATTTTTTTAATCTAGAGATAATTAAGAAATAATTTAAACTTAAAAACGGAAAATTCATGACTTTTCATTTGGTCTTTTTGCGCAAAATATTTGCATATCAAAAATGTATATTTCTCTTGGATTGAAATGTCTGAAATAAATACTATAAATCTAACTTCATAAATTCTAAGCAGAAAAGTCTAATTCTTTAAAACATCCACACACATCCACATCCTCTTCGATGCTCTTATTTAACTAACCTAAAAAAAATCGTCCCCAAAAATAGCCTTAGAATCTTTTATCTTTTTTTCAGCAAGCCTTTGGATTTAATGAGAGCTATTTCTTTTATGCTAATGACAAACAAGGACACTGCTCTGTGTGTTGTCTTAATTAAATCTTGAAGAAATGTTTTACTTAAAACAGTTCTACCCACTGACAGATTGTTTCAAGGAAAACTGTGTCTTCCATGTTGATATACGTCTAAGCATGAGGAATGAATCCAGAATTTAAATCGGGAGGATAGCAGCACTGATTTAATGAGCTAAATTCAGGGAAATGAAGAGAAATGCTTCCAGGAGAGTCGGGGTCTTTAAAGACCAGTAAAAATAGGTTGGTCACAGATTAACCAATCAAACCAGTATCCAAGAAGCTCTAAGGTAGCATGAATATTCTAAGGTATGGCAGATAAGGATAAATTATTGGCCACTTTTTTCTACTCTGTGAAAATATTTAGTTAAACTTTCAGCTGGAAGATTAAAGCTTTGTTGTCAATAGTGTTGATGTTGGTGCCGTTCGGATTTATCCATCATAAAGCAGCTTGGATGTTAAGTTTTTCCTGTGAGCTTAACTTAAAGAAGTGGAGGCAGTGATCACCATCTTGGTTAAACCACCATGTTTATGCGATGGAACAGTTAGACTGACACTAAAACAGACTCAGCGTGATGCTACAAGCTCCATTCATGTGAAATTCTGTTCTCTTTCTGCTCCCTAAACTCCTCCAACCCTTTTTTTTTTTTTTTTTTGGCCATAACATCTACTGTAGGTAGCTCAGTCTCGTCTGACTGTGAAACTTTTCCTGGATCTATTTTGTTTTTTTGTTCGCATGAACCCTGTCAGAAGTTCAGAACATAGGACCCAGAATTCAAGCAGACAGATTAGGGTTTTTTTTTATAACAAGCCTTTATTAAAAGATCAGCATGCGGCTGCTCCTTAGCTGGGGCAGGTTCACGTGATTCTCTGTAGAGATAGGAACTCAGGTTAGTGACCACAGCACTCAGATGGGAAATGATAATGAGCATGTGAGTCACTAACCTGGATATTGTTTAGTCTGAAGAAGGAGTGGAGTCCGGAGGGATTGTTTTTCCGTAGCATGCGAGGGAAGCCGCCCCCAGGGTTCCAGGAGAGAGGTAGGGCAACGATTAGCAGGAGCCAGCGCACGCAGAAGATCAAAAGTCAGAAGTGGTGCAGAAGAGGTTTCCAAATCGGGTCAGAGTTAGCATTGAGGGCAAGTCAGGATCCAGGTAACAGTCCGAAGACAGATCAGGCAAACAGAGCAGAACAGGGACAACCAAAACTCAGTCAGGATCAGGTAATCAGAAACTCACACGTAAGCTAGAAAACAATCACACTCTGCTTGAATAATCTGGCACCGATGGCTGGAAACAGCCAGCTTAAA